ATTTCATTGAAAATATACAAAACTGAATCTACTGAAGATTTTTGGGCAAATAGTGTTTTGGATAAGTATACGAATTGTAAAAAATTGCCAATAAAATTAGCTACCATGTTTGGCGCCAAAATGACCTTTTTAAAGAACAAATATCGTTCAAGATTAACTTATCTCCACCTTGAAAACACTCTGCGCATTAGTTGTTCTCCAAGAGTACCAAATTTAAAAAAAAAAACTGGCTCAAGACAAAGTATGTAATGTCTCTCATTAAACTTTAAAGTATAAAATTGTATATTATTATTATGAAACTTTTCCTACTAAATAATTTACCTTAAAGTTTATACTGCGTGTTTTATAAAAATAAATTATTAACTAATATTTAAATATTTTCTGGACCTCGAAAATTGTTTTTTTTCTTCAAATTATCCGGACCTCCTAAAAAACGAATTGCCTACCCCTGGCCTAGTGACTAGCCCTTCTTATACACTCGGTGTGCCAAGACATAGTAAGAACATGCACTTTTTTACTAATTTCTCTAATTTTTTTTTTCTATATAGTTCAGCGTATTTTTATATGTTAATTGCGGCTTTGTCAAAACCACGATTTTTTTATTCAACTGTCACGGTCCCGAGTATAATTATTATATACAAACGCTTCAGCGGCAGTGCGTTCATTGTACTATTGCCCGAATTGAAGTATATGAATATATAAAACGGACAATGTGAATATAATATAATAGTTGTAGTACACACAATGATGACTATAATACAGTAATGTGTCATAGATTGTATTATTATTGTCGTGTAGTATAATTCTCTTTGAATTATACATACATAGGGATAACGAGCGTTAAGATCTAATGTATATAGATTTAAACTGTTTATTTAGACTTCAACATTTTTGAGTCGTTAATAATAGTGGAGTGAATTTATTATTCCATTTTAGGTCCGTCAAATTGTAAACGTCGACCGTGACGCAAAACGTGTTAACACCGAAGTAACAAAAAAAAAAAAAAACTCATTTGCTAATTAGTAAATAATCACCGTGTCTATAGATAGTTGTTACTTGTTTTCGATTAATATTAGCTCAGACAAAATAATATACACAGTATCCAAGATTGAAGCGCTAGTATCTACTTCTTTAGCTGGTTTTTAAAAGGTTTATTATAATCATTACATTTTGGTGGTCTCAGGTTAGGTTTAATTGTCGCCAGGAGAAATTTGATTTCACCGAATTAGTCAAATTTAGTAGGCAATAATGTATTTCAATAAATTATTTCATTATATTACTTTCACATGATGTTTTCGCCGAAAATCAACTATACTGACAACACAAATGTTTCAACGATTTTTTTCCTAAATACATATTTAATAACTATACAAAAAAATTAGAAGATTTTTATACTTTGACTTGATCAACTCAATAATATATTGTCATTATTAAAATAACAAACATTTTTGTTGAGACTGAGAGTTTCTATTTTGTACAATGTACCACATAACGCCCATTTTAACGATAATGCCCTATTGTGTTAAATCATGACAATTCCATATATTGTTGATTTTTCTGGTTCGGCGTGTGTACCATAATTACAAATAGTATGTAGATCACTTCCAAATTATGTTAATGCGGTTTCGGTCAGCGTTTGGCGAGAGTTTGGTGGAAAAATAATTATCCAAAAGGCCAAGTCGCGAGTTTGATCCGGTCGTTAAAGTCACCAGCTATATACCTAACCGATAGGTACGGCGATTATGCGCAGGTACAGCTATACAGTTGATTGGTGTCGCTGACAATGTGACAAAGTATAGAGAAACACCTAAACCTTGTTTCCATTGTAATGTAATATAACTAACTAAACCGCATAACCGAAATTACCCGTGTCCGAGTGCGCGATCACATAATATATTGTTTGTCAGCATATGCAACGATATTGTACAATATGTGGCGCACATTCGTTAAATAGTAAGTATAAAACAATGGATTTAAAACCGGCGTTTTAAAAGAAAAAAAAATGGTTATTATGCGTGTACAAGGTTTAAGGCGCAAAATTATCATATATTTTGTTAACTTGCATCGCATTCCAAACGTCTAAAAGCCGCTTGTAATTCACAAATTATTATTTTTGTTTTCACCAACGCTCAAATTATTTAAAAACCCAAAAACGTTGAATAGACATTTCTATTTTGCATGTATTTTCATCATTAACCATAACAGTCGAAGAGCTTGTAGAACCGAAATAATTCATTCCCAAAAATTGCACAATCAAATAAAGTAACTTTCAAAAATGTTTTTATCTAAGTTTGAAATTTGAAAAAAAAAGTCCTTTTTATAAGTCGTTCTGTTTTCGGATAAAAACGTATGAGATGCATCCGTTTTATGTTTCTTGAAAATATCCAATTAAATTAAAGTATGATAGTATACTGAAAACCAATTTTAACACTTACTATACATTATTTATTTGAATAGATCAATACCCAAAATCTATAATTAACGTACAGCATTTCATTTCCGGTGAAAATGAGTGAATTTTTCTGTAATTCGGTTTCAACTATACCATAATGGCATTATATAAATTATAATAAACAAGTACAATATGCAACAAGTGACGGTTTTCTTGTTTAACCAACATTTTAATAGAATATTCGGTTGCAGAGCCTAGTAAGTTATACTATACCGACTTAAATCCAAACGGTAGAGTTCACTGTTCAGTCGGAGTGTCCAATGGACGATTATAAACGTTGTATATATTGTGTGTTAATTATAAGTGAGTACACACAATTACAGCATCTATACAATTGTGTGTGTGTGTTGATTCAAACGCGTAACTCATATTGTGGACGAAAAGAGGAAACGCTTTGTTAGACCTCGAAAATCATGGACACGAGAGTCATGACACACAAAACAGCATATTTTAGGTACCTATATATTGAATCCGGTCAATTCTGTCGGTTTTTTTTTTCCGAAATTCGGGATGATCGATAAAAATGTCAAACCCACATCACGTTCAATTTTCGATAAACCGTCTCTCAGCGAGCCGTCTGGGACAATATTTTTACATTATATTCCGTGTGTATAAAACCCATCCTACTGGGTTTTGTACCCTAAAACCGTTTTTCGGATGAGATCGAGTCCGGCGACATATTCTGTGTACTACCTTGACAAGTAGACCAACATTATACGCCTGAACAACTCGGACTTGATTTCCGTCGTGTACTTACTACAGGATTCCGGTAAGTCAACCCCGTTTGTGCGGTTACCCCTTTTTTTTTTTTAAATACACTTAATATTCACCGGCACAACTCCGCCAATTGTATTCGCCCAGGTGTGCTGTGCTCGCCGTAACCGGATGGGTCGAATTAGGAGATACCGCGGGGTTGTTCTCGTTAACACGGTTCAATATTATAATATTACTACACACTGTAGTAAACACTCGGTGGGACCAACAATGTGTACTCGGTTACACCCGCACGAACCCACACCACTGACCGCCTTAGACTACCGAAAACCTTAGGTCAGGACCTGGTGGTGGGGGGGGGGAGGGGGATACTAAAAACCTTAAAGCTTAAAATTCGATTCGGGGCCGTCACCCAGTAGTGCCAACCGTGGATACCTCTATTCCGCTGCAGCTGAGGGGGAACGACCGGTACCGGGTGTCTATTGTGTGAGCTCTCCCCTTTGGCCACGTATACCCTTTTCATTGTTGTTATCGCAGCCGTTGCCGGAATCCAAAACGCCGCAACGACCGTTCTACCGAAAACGACGGTCCGATAATGAAAATATATAGGAAAACGGTATATAATATCTATACAACATAGTAGCTACCTATATCGCAGGCCGGCGCTATTGATTTTAACGCCTCGGACCAGCGTCGTCTTGAAAATGATTATTTCCGATTTCAATAGCTGCTGCCGTCGTTTGCAGACGGATATCACCCATGTTGTTTGTTGGCATCAGACACGGACCGTTTCATTATATGGTGCAACAATAGCCCGTATACTGGCGGTTACCGTGTGTCATGTGCTGTCTGGCTGGGGAATTCCCAGAGGCGTCGTGCCTAGTGGGTCCGCTTTATATTTTAAATAAATCAAATTGTACTCGAAAAGTTAGGTTAGGTCGACGATTTTCAGCAGCTGTGTATCCAAGGAAAATAACTCAAAAGCCATTTTTTACCAGTTCCAGACAGACATACACATTAACAACTTTCGGCTATCGCAGCGGGTACTACATGTCAAATAATAAAATAGTAATTAAAAATATGATAACGGCTACGTCGTGTAAACAACAATAATATTATTATCGACTGGGACCTGGGTTAATAATAAAAAAAACCGAAATACCATTACCAAGCCACTGTAACGCAATTAATATGCGACCACACGTCGATGGAATGATTTGTCGTTATCTCTTCTATATCGTCGTTGTAATATTATTTTTATTATATTCAACACGAGTATTACTATGTGCATATTGTTTTTTTTTTTTCGAGTGTTCAACAGCAATAAAAAAAATTGAAATTATCACACACGATTATCATTATCGTTATCGTTGTTGGCATTAAAAAAAAAAAAAAAAACTCTGCTTAGACTAAACGGTTGTTGCATTTCACTGTACGTCAGCAATACCACCGTGTGCACGACGATAATGAGAATAACACTAACAATATTAATTGTGTAATTGTAAAACAAGAAAATAACGTCGCATTACTTTGTTTTTCCTCGTCACGTGTCAAACTTCATGTAATAATAATAATAATATATTATTTTAACAACTCGCAGAGTTGACGTTAAAATTAAAAAAATTAAAAGGACCGTCTCTTCTAATAATATACACCGTAACGAGACTTATTAAATATAATAAGAATAATAATTGTAGTAAGAACACCAGAAGAGTTGTTTTTTCCTTTGTTTTATTACATCATATAGTATTGGTCGAAACAATAATAATAATAATAATATATAAAATCATCATCATGGTTCGTATAATATTATCGGCAAAAAAATAATTAAAAATAATAATTATAATAATTTATTACTATTAATAAATTTTGTATAGTACAAAGTCCTTATTATAATATATCTTAGTGTAACGATTTCCGTCGTTTTTTTTTTTTTAATTTTAAATTATATACCTACCTACGTTTTACATTAATTGCATTGTTTTATTTTACTCTAATTAGAACATACGTCATAATATAATGAAAATCAATAGCAGCAATAGTATTACTGGTTCAGAAGACGCTTTACTGGTTTCAATCAAACTATATAGGTACAATATTATATAATTGGATTTAAAATGTAAAATAATTATCTATATAAATATATATATAATAAAATATTATTCTATAGATGTTCACAATAAATATTATATTACATGTATTATGTATGTGCCGCTGTAAGGCCTTGTCGGTCGACCTTGATAAAAGCTCTTTTTATTTTTTTTGGCACGTATCAAAAAACACAACAGTCAGTCGTTGGCGAATTAAGTACATAATATTATAGCTAATATAAAATATAATAATATGCTTACAAAAAAAAAAAAAAATTATTATTTTTTATATCATAATATTAGTTGTCCATCGCGTTGTCGTTTTGCCTTAACGACGGATGAATTTCTTTACAAATTGATTTTTTGGGTGTAGTAAACGAGGACGATAGAAAAAAAATACATTTGGTGGGACCGAACAATTTTTGCAAAAAAATTCTACTTAACATGATTTCAACCACCGCCCAAAACCGTTGGGGGTTGGCAGTGTGTAATAAAAAAAAAAAAAGTACATAAAAAAATAGCGAGATGGGGAGGGGGTTGACTTTACCCTAATAAAATTGTTTTAAAAAAAAGCTAAGGGTTTCTATTTACAACCGATTGGAGGAAATGTTGTCCAATGGCGTTTATCGTTTTCACAGTGGCGTCTTGCCCAGCGGCACCAGGTCGTCGTCGCTGGCCTGCGATCCGGGCTCCTTGCGCAGTCCAATGGCGTAGTTGTGCAGCAGGTCGCGGAATACGACGCCGTCCATGTTGCCGGCCAGGTAGTACATGAACAGCCAGTCCGAGTACGTGGTGTGCCTGGCGACGGTGGCCAGGTCGACCGGGTCGAGCCGGGCGCCGGGCGAGGACTCGCGCAGCACCAGCCGGTTGAAGGACTCGCGCGAGTGCAGGGCGTACTGGATGAAGCGCCAAACGAGGGCGCCCACGCTTACCGGCAACAAGACGAACAGGAACCAGAACCAGAGCACCGCGTAGATCTTCTCGTTGACGATGTTTAGGGCCATCACGCACATGGCGTCGTGCGTCTGGATGGTGCCGGACGGACCGAACTTGTGGAAGTCGCACTTGGTCATCTTTGGGAACACCCGGTCGAACGTATCGTCTTCGACGGAGAACAGCTTCCAGCCGTACGAGTAGAACTGGCCGCCGAGGAAATTGTTCATGATCCTGATCTGCAGCAGCACGTTCAACAAGTTGAGCACCTCGCAGCCGACTAGGGCGGTGGCCCAGTGCCGGTTCACCCGGAACCGGGTCACCGTGTCCAAGTGATCGATCACCTCCTGGATCCGGGCCCGCGTGGTCACCGTGGACGGTATCTTCCGGTTGCCGGCCACCACGTCCTGGTCGCCGTCCGTCTTCAGGTACAGCCGCTGCAGGCCGTCGACGAGCAGCGAAATGGTGCCGGCCTCGTACGACTTCCATATCAAGTGAGGCAGGTAGAACAGTATCGCCTGGAAGAACAGCACAAACGGCACCCACTGGTAGTAAGCGTGGTGCACCGGCTTGGAGTCCCACTGGATGGGCCCGACGCCCGGGTGCGCCGAGTTGTTGACGCCCGGTACCGTGTACGTGGTGGTGAAGAAACAGAAGGTGTTGACTACATGGGTGGGTATGCCGGTGGCGATGCAGCGGATGTGCTCGCCAATGTATTGACGGCTGCACACCAGTGTGGTGCTCGCCAAAAGTATGGCCAGCGACAGTCTGTAGTGGAGGCGGAACGCCGAGTTGTCGATGGTGACCAACCGGACCCGGGTGAGCCGGGCCTGGCTGACCACGTCGCTGAACACGCGGATCATCCCGGTCGGTTACGCCGAACGCGATTAATAATAATTAGAAAAATCTGTTAAAAAAAAAAAAAAAAACAACGATAATCACCAGCGGCAATTCGACGACATTGACAAGGCGCGCGGACGGCAAATACGCAGACGGGTGCGCGCGTTACACTAGGTACGACTGGCGCGCGCGCGACCGACGCACCGGTTGCAACGGCAGTGGCGCGGCGGTGCGGTGGCCCCCACCGCGCTCAACCCGCTGGCCGACGGGACCGTTTGGCAGCCGCGTCGCCTGCAACCGTTTTCGTCCGCCGTCGTCCGTCGCGCGGACCACGTGGTCGTGTCGGCTGTCGCGTTCCGAATTGTCCCGTGTTTGTTGCGCGCCAAATGTCGTCCCTCCTCCTCCCTCGGGGTGTGCATGGGCCCGTAAACGTGGCCATATGGAGGGCGGAGGCCCACACACGGCGAAGGCTGATGTCGCGCAGACTAAACACGGGCCGACACCGTACCGTGGGCCATATGGAATTATCAGTTTATCGGTTTCCGGAAAACGTTGCACATGTCGACCCGCCCTTAAAAACTACCCCGTGGAATTTTGAAACATGGTCAAGTATAACAGTACAACAACGCCTATGTGATTTGATCTCAGTTAAGTGCTTAATTCAAACCCCCCCCCCCCTTGGGGTTGTTAAAACAAATCTAATAAAATGGTACAAAATAATAGTATATTATGTTTATATTCCCATTAATTGTATTGTACAGTATAAAAGAGCTGTCCAGTCAGCTAAAAGTCACACTTAATTATACTATACCTAAACTTTAAAAATAGGTAGGCCCAGCGCTAAACGATAATCATCTCAATTATCTAGATAATTGGCTGTGGTTCAGCTTAGGAAAACTCCAAATTTGCCGCCTTTCAATTGTTATTAATTTATATAAATACATTTAATTTGTAAAAAAGTTGCATTTTGTAAAATACCGCCCTAGACAATATCATGTCGATGTTGCCTTGCGCCTTTCCTGAACATAGGACAATGAAAACTATACAAACAATGTACAAGTCTATAGTATAAGATATACTGACTGGTTCGTGAATCACACCCTGTATAGAATTCTAGCCGTTACTGTTACCGGTAAAATGAAAAAATGCATTAAAAAACGTTGCAAGGCAAAACCCATTAATGGTGGAGTGAAATAAGACGGATCATGTCACGGCCGTGGCTTTAAAATTAGTTACATGTTCTTATCATACATGGTGTATATTATTATTTTAGTGTTTTTTTTTTTAACTCGGTTCTCGTCAACAGCTTCAATTCGTGACGTTAAATTTTTTTTTTATATGAAAAAAAAACCGTATACATTTGCTGGCAACAAACAACAAAATGTGTTATTACTTGTTATTACAATTGTGTTTTTTTTTTGTTAGGTAGGTACCAATCAAAGGACACTTGACAAGTTTGTTGTTTTTTTACACGAGAAACGACCTTACTGTGAAGATCGTCTAGTATCATATTAAATATTAACAACAATAATATTAATAAATATTGTGAGTCTTAGGCCATGCCAGTCACTTCAGTAACGCTGTTGGACATACTGCTACGAGGATATATTTATGGCAAACGGTTATTGGTTTTATGTTAAAATTATAATATTATTGTATTACAGTCCTTGTAATATTTTTTCTCCATCTCGACTGTTTTCGCTGTAGGTACCTACCGGAAAATACTGATAACAACTATTATATGCAAATGTTTTAGCTGCTGAGCTTTTGTCTATAAATCATTACAGTTATACGACGTTTGAGCGGAAAAAATATATTAAAAAAAAAAATCATAAATTAAAATCCTACCAAGCAACCGGCGGACACGTTCGTTTTACTTAGAGATGTAAATCGTTTACAACAATCTGATGATTGGGCTCGATGCTGTGTGTACAATAAGACGTGCTTTTACAACAAGGAAAACATGCACACTTTTTTTAAACGTGTTGTCAAAGACGGTTACACAAGTTATCATTATTATTTTTTTAATTTGCCCACCAAACTTGTACTTCCTCGCCAAAAAATCGTTCCACGTGGCAAAGTCGGGCGTTGAGCAGAACTTGTCACATTTTTGAAGATGTTCACATTATAAAACGGTAAAGGAAAGATTATTTTTTCTACTTTCGTCCAACGTGCATCTAATCCCATAAATGTCATAATAATTTATCACTATCACATATCGGTATTGTACACACGTTGAAAAAGGCACACTGTGCGAGCACTTGAAGTACAATAGAGACACACATATGGTGTGCATTAGGTGTATGTATATTATATAATATAAAATGATAATTTATTACGGACTTCCAGTCTGGAAAGTCTGTGCGACCACTACATGATGGGCACTAAGGTTCCTAAGTAAAAATAGAAATCCGTCGCCAGATCACGATTAGGGATTTGATTTCACATTCAATCAAATAGTGAATTTACTTGGGTACAAACTAGTCTAAAACCATAGTAGACGGGTAATTTTAAATGGTATATTTTTGCCAGGAACAAATAATTTCATAATACAATGAAAAATCTAATAAATTTTAGCAAAAATTAGAAGTATTGCTGTAAAAAACGCTACCGCACTAACCGTTGAAAATCGTATTAGTGAATCTAACTATTTAATTACTCAACCGACTTGTACCGTTCACTAAATGTAAGACCGACAATTGAAAATTTCAGCCATTCGATTTAAAAAAAAAAATTGATAAAAACACCTGTTCAATGACATTTTTTTTCGTACTTCAAATTACGGCACGGCATGCTTTAAATTTTAATTACAGTCAATTGTCTAGTACACTTGTTTGATGTACTCTTTACACACACACACCACATATAGCACTTTATACTAAATAGTGTTTTCAATTCTCCTTTGTGCGTGTGTGTGTAGTGCTCGAATTTATTTAGTATGATATGAACTAAAAACGACATGTGATATGAACAATTATTAATTATAAACAAATTTTGAAATATGGGTCGAGCACAATCTTTATTGAGGAAACGGGAAAAACACATTTATTGCCTATAAACTTGTGTTTGCTCGCATATTAATTGTAGATATTAGTAGTAATTTTACCAAATCCAAAACCTTCTTGGTAGACAACACAAGTGCGGTAGCGTTACCAGTTCAGTAGTACAGACCATATAATATTTTATGCTATTGGTCGACTTAATACATTGTATTGTTATTAAAAACGTTTTTTTTTTCCCCCATTAGAGACACAATACTAAACTCGAGACAGGACTAAGGTGTGCGCGAGTGCAAGTGCGTGACGCCGGCTATTTTGTACCAATATATAATTGTTATAATATACAGTAAACGGGTAAATACCGTGAGTAATGTTGGCCAACGATTTGTATTTGTTTTTCATTGAACATGGCGCATAAAAATAGGTACTAGTAGTAAAATACCTAGCATAATATCGCACGTGTAGCAGTGCATAATAAAAAATAGGATGTCTAATGCGGATTAATGAATAATAATAATAAGGTAATCGCCGCAGTGGCAATTACCTACTTAAATACATACAAGTCGTGGTGTTTGCGAAACGTTTTCTTTTTTAAATATTGTATTTTTAATTTGCCTCAAAGTCACGGCGAACAATGTGAGGTTAACCGTTGCAAATACATGGAAACATTATAAACTGCATAATTTATCAGTAGTTAATAATTTACTACTATTGAGCAAAATTGTTTAAAAAAATAAAACCAGAAGTGTTTGAAAATTGGCTAATTTTCATACTTAATTAATGTTTAATTTTTTTTTTTATATAATTTCATACAATTTGGTGACTTAATATTATTTTTTTAACTGGTCTAACTACTATTAGAACAAGAAAATGATAAATATAAAAGTACCAATTATATGATTTTTATCAAATTGTTTTTGTACGAATGTATTTTTATACATTTCATATGAACATTATTTATTAGGGGAAATTAATTTTTAAAATGCATGTCAACACTTATTAGGTTTGTTAGGGTTGTCGCAGTTGTTGTTGAATAATACAATTGTTGTGTTTAATCAAACAATATAAACGCAGGTGGCTAAGTTTTTTAACAAAAGTGTTATTATTTAACTTGAAGTCAAAAAAGTCAAATTAATCAATAAAATCCAGACTTGAGTCCCGACTTTTTAATAATTACCTACTTAACGGATTAAAAGGACCGAGTCGGTCTCCCAACCTATTTAATAAGGATTTTTGTAAAAACTTACTGTAAGACTATACTTCAAATTTGATCTTGTAAATAATAATGTAATGTATTTTGTAATTATATTAGTAAGTGCTTGCGAAAACCTCAGATAGTTTTATAAAAAACGATAAACTCTGAATGGTTTTCTTCAAGGAAATAGTGAATTGTGATGTGTGCTGCATGCTTGCCTCGCGTGTTTCGGTCGATATTGTAATAATTATATTGTAATCTTGAAATTAGTTGGATTTATTTTCAACGTAACCTGTTCTCGATTATTAGCGTAATAGGCATGAGGTTATCAGTTGTGTAAAACGGACGATTCCGTATTACATTATTATGATGTATTATTTTCCAATGAAAACAGTATGGTTTTGCACGTTTTCGTCCGCGTTCTTTAACCATAACATATAAAAACACAGGGCGTTAATAATAACTAAACAAAGCCACGACCAAAAATACATCACTTGCAAACTGATATGATAATATTTGGGACACTTTTTTGCAAATTTTCTTTCAAGTCCTACTGTAGTTGATCTTGTTATGGGTAGGTATCACTCACTAGGCCTCTACACGGACACTAGCAAATATAATGCCAACTTGAGTTTGCTCGCTGTTTGTTTTTTCAACAACATATATGTGACATTCGAGTACGACACTATCTGTAGAGTGTAGACTGTACTGAGGTTATTCGTTGTAAATATATATATATATATATATGTTGAACTCGGTTTAAGTACACGTTGTACACGCCCATAAAGGGAAAAACACATGTGCCTTTGGAATATAGAGAGTGTATGCCGAGAGCCAGAGATTGCTGTCGGACGACTCTTTATTGCTGACAAATCATATCATCAGCTATATTTATAATATATATATATATATATATATATACACAGGGGCAACATTATGAGTGCAACAAACACGTCTTATTGTTCGAACGTGAAAATCTGAATACATAAAACA